TAAAACATCAAGTGTTCTTTTGGATCCTTCCCTGTGCCTCTCTATAAGTTGCTTCTTTCTTCCAAGTCTTAGCTGACTCCTCTGGGAAAGGAGGATGCCAAATACTGCCCTTTTAAAGTACTCTCTGTGGAGTATGGAGATGAAAACATAAGCACAAATGTCTGCACACTTGAGAGATGAGAAGGAAGGCCTGAGATTTGTAACTTTATTCCTGGGTCTACTGGTCATACATGGGGGAAAGATTTATTAGTGGTATTGTCGGAGCGGGCTGTAAGTGGTACCCTCTTTGGCTTAGCCAGTGCTCAACAGCTTCGGAGTTGGTTTTTTTGGGTTTGTTTTTGTTTTTTTTTCACTGGATGCTACCCAAGAGAAAGAAGGTGGTAAATGTGCTAGAATAGGAAAATCAGATTTAAATGATATGAGGATTATGGGTAATAATACTTAGCAAACCAAAGAAGGAGAATTGACCAGTTTATTGGTAAGCAGTTACCTGACCACATGAGAGCAAATGCTGTAAAAAAATTGACCAGAAAAAGTTGTCTTTGATTTAACATTTCAAAGCTTTTATTTAAACATTTCATGTAATTATTTTGGCCTCTTGAGCAACAGCTTGACAGGATTCAAATGGAAGGTTAAAGCCTTTTTAAAATGTAAACGTAAATTATCTAAGCTTTCCTGCCCCTGCTTCCTTTCCCTCTCCATTTACACATACATCCCCTATTTCCTACATCTTTGAACTACAGCCAGCAGCTGAATGAGGTACATCTTGAATATGTGTGATGGGGCGGGAATCCATAAATGTAAGGATTAATGGAGGTACAGCTACAACTTCAACAGATATACCTCTTGTAAGGAGATTACAGGAGTAAATCCTGTGTACTGCATACAGGTTTAGGTACAGTCTTTCAAAAAAAAAAAAACCCCAAACAACCCCCAGGAATGCTAAATGATGCTTTCTGCCAATTTCTTAGCTGATTCACTCCCTTTTAAATCAGCAGTTTGCATATATGTGAGTAGAAAAACTAATCATAGGAATTTCTTGGTTTTGCTTTGTAACCTACTCAAAATGCTGTCTGAAAAATACAGAATTCTACTAGTCCTTTGATCATTTAATGCTCTGTGGGTGAGCAGCTTGTCACATTTTAGACTACCTCAAAAACAAGCAAACAAGCTTGTTTCTATAGTTATGATGGTCTCATGATATGATGGTCTTGTGATACAAACAGGACAATGTTTGGCAAGAACGGTGATGTCCTATGTTAGGCCAGCTGATACGCTTTGCAGCTCAAAGGAGAAAACAAGCTGAGAGGCACACAAGGCCTTTCTTAGTCTGAAACAAAAGGAGCAAACCTCGTTAAACCTTGTTTTGTAATAATTTACAAAGCCTACACAGGCTTCTGAATTAGGTATTTGATTTGCATGCAGTGTTTTGTAACTAGGTGTTAGTATATTTATAAAAAATATTTTTTAAAACCCTATTTATATTAATAACCCACTTTATATATATGAGAAAATATTTCATTTTAAAAAACCCACCTTTTCTCCATTTGCTCAAATATCTGTCCAGAATGAAATGATATTGTTATGGGGACAAAATGTTTAAATACCATACTGGCTATTTTTTTTACTTCTCAAACTTAGTGCAATTGACTTTTTTAGTACAGAAAACCAGTGTTTGATAATGTATGGTTGATAACATCAGTAACGTGACAGATAATTAGTACCTGTAATTTTCCTCTGACAAACCAGTTGCGTCTTTTTTGGTGATTATGAGAAATAGTCTGTAACATGCTCTGTAAAAGAAAATGCGAAACTTTCAAACAAGAATGCCCAAAGTGGGGTGGGGAATTGTATTTGCGTAACTATGTATTTGCACATGTGTATGCTCTCTTTTAGAGATTTCTTTTTGGAAAGCCATTACTGAAGAAGCTCTCTTCCTTACACATACAGCACAGTATTCTGTACTTCAGTGAGGCAGTATACAGCTTTCGTTACAATGACAAATACTGAAATGTTAAAAATAGATCAAGCTTTAAGAATCCCAGATATTTTCAAATAACAAAGAGTGATTTATGTGGGCTCATTTTGCACTTTCACAAAATATAGAGGCGCTTTTGTACTATGATTAGCAAGGGTGCTGATGTCAGTTCGCTTGTCTAGCTTTAAGCTTTATTCTGCTGCTAAATTGTGCTTTGTACTGTAATCCAGAGAACCTTTGTATCTGCCTTGTTAGTGTGTAGTTTATGGAATTGCTTTTGTTTTTGAATATAATCTGTGCCAGTTTCAGTGAGTGTGACTCATTATATGACTGAAATAAATGTTCACATATGCACTATGTGAAAACTCTTCAAAAATAGTAGCAGGTGCTGGTAGGCTAAATTCAATGTTTTAAGTACTTTATAGTTGCTATTTTGTAGCCTGAAGGGCTGAAAGCAAATTCTGTTTAGCTGGTTGATTTTTCTGAATTTTTAAGTCCTATTTACTCATTAATGCTCAACAGAGACTGTCAGGATTGCTAAGAATCTTTCGCTCCTTAACACAGTACTGGAAATAAACTTCTAGAAGAAGCATGCTTGGCTGATACAGAGTTGATTTTTTTTTTTTTTTTTTTTTACACAAATTGTGAGACAAAATGCTTTGTGCTTCTCAATTTCTCTTGTCCCTCTCCTATCTCTAATCTCTTTCTTCCTGACTTAAGTTTTGAAAATTTCATCTGAATGACTGAAGGCTGAGTTTAAAGATAAAGCTGGTTTCTGAAGCAGCAGAGTTGTGCAGTTTGGTTCGTAACAGTTATCTGTGGTCAACCTTGTCTGGAGAGAGAGGCTCTGATACTGAAGTTTCCTGTTATCCCAGCATCTAAGTTGTCACTTGATTTGGCAACAGGAAACAAAACAAACTTTGCCAGTGTTTTTGGGTGCTGTGAAACAGTGCTTATCAGCTGTGCTACTAGAAGATGGTCACAGCTGAAATCTAAATTGAAGGGGCTTCATCTGTTACATCTTCTACTTCTGTGTTTTGCTGTTCACCCAGTTAAACTTACTGCTGCCATAGAAATAGTTGCTGGAGACCTTGACTTGATTCACACAGTTCAGCATTTAAAGGCAGATGCTGTATTCACAACTACAATAAATATACTTGTTTTATAAAGTACAAAAGTTATCTTAAAATCAAATAACTTGGTAGTTGGAGAATGGTTCACAAGCCTTAATTAAGCTGTCTGGCATTTTTCCCTTTCTCCTGTTTTCTGTATTATCTTTTCATAATAGCTTCCTAAGCTTGACACCAAAAAAAGGCATGCCCACTTGACAATGAGGGTTTTGTGAGTCTGTAGTGCAAAGCTGACGGCGCTAGTTCAGAGCTGGAAGATGGCAGTGCAGTTCTTGCTCTGTGTCCTTTATGTCCTCCCACCGCTAGTTTGTTTGAAGGTAACGGCTAGGTAAAAATGAAATGGGAGCATTCTTGTGCCTCAACAGAATGCGTCTGAATCTTTTCCTAGTACCTAGTAAGAAACTCTTTGTTTTCGAAGCTACATCCCAGTGTGTAAAGGACATCACGTGCCTTGACCTATTCTGGGACCGGCCATGCTTATGTCATTCCTTTCTTTGGTTAGCATGCAGCCAGGGCTGGCCAAAAGAAGAATGCACTCACCTGTTCTATTTTTTCCACTTCTTCTATTGATTTTTTTTGTCCTTCCAAAGGACTTGCTGGTGACCTCATTTGAATATCCTAAATAAGTTTTAAATGGTGTGCCTTGGGGCGTGGTGTGAGTCTGCGGTGTAACACGCAGTGGCCTGGCTACTGCATTAATTTGCCTTGGTCTCCAACTTTGCTGAAAAGCATAAAAACAAATGAACAAACCAGTGATGGCTCCCCACTGTGTCCAGGCTCTACTTTGATTTCTAACTGTGAATGCAGTGCAGTTCTTCTAGTGTGCAATGGCAGTATGTCTAGTTTCTTGAACTGTGCCCGTTATCCTGGCATTTGTGCATAAAAGGAAGCTTATAGCATAGAAAGCTGTATTGCCGGTAGAGCTGAGGAACCAAAATGCGCTAAGTGGGGCAGTAAAGATGCTGTTGGTAACGCTGGGACAGTTGGTTTCTTGGTTTGAGTTAGTGTCTTTGGCGAGAATTATACCAGGCGATGGAGGCCCATGGGAATGAAGGGCAGCTGAGGATTAGTTGGAAGATGAGGCATTTTAGTTGTGCTTTTCTCCCAGACCAGGTTCTTTCTCTCTGCAGCAGCAGGAAGGCTGATCTAACAAGTATGGTGTCAGAATGGTGAAATGTATTTCTTCTGTGGACGTACCTTCCACAGAGACTCTTTTTATGCGGTAAAACTGTAACATTTGGTCATTCTTTCCATACCCATCTCTCTAATGGTTTCCAAAATAATAACATAGCTCTTTTTCTATAAGAAGTACTATTGTAGAGTTCCCCTAACATCGAGGCAAGTTACGATGTGAGCATTGTCTGTTCTTTAAATGCAGATTGCTATCGTTGAGTATCAGTGAAAAATTCAGAGTTAAAATGCGTCAGCCCCAAGCAGCAGATACTGGAAACAAGACGCTATGGAGCACTTAAAGATATATTTTATTTTGTCTTCCCCATGCCTATGTCAGCTTCCTTCAGAAGTTTTTTGTGTGCGCTTTTTTCCCTCTTCTGCTCCCCTCTCCCCTTTTTTCTTTACTGGATTCATCCCTTCTCATTTTGCAAACAGTGATTTAATTATATATTCTCTTCTTAAAAACAAAGCTCAAGTACAGAGGAAATAAACTTTAAAATACAAATTCACTAATCCTCTAGTCCACTGCTGTAACAATACGTAAATAGATTGTGTTAAATGTAGGTAACTGGTGTGTAGTGTCTTAGAATTATAATTGAATTAAAGTTACTACTACTCAGTTCAAACCAGGTTGAAACCATACACAAAAGGTAACAGTCTTAAAGTATGATTTCTTCCTTCTAATTTTTCTCCCTTTTTTTTCTCTCTCCAATTTTCAGGCATGGAAGAGGAGATGGTTTGTGCTTCGCAGCGGCCGTTTAACAGGGGATCCAGATGTATTGGAATACTACAAAAATGACCATGCCAAGAAGCCTATCCGTATTATTGACTTAAATTTGTGTCAACAAGTGGATGCTGGATTAACGTTCAACAAAAAAGAGTTTGAAAACAGTTATATTTTTGATATCAACACTATAGACAGAGTTTTCTATTTGGTAGCAGACAGCGAGGAGGAGATGAATAAGTGGGTTCGATGTATCTGTGATATCTGTGGGTTCAACCCTACAGATGAGGGTAAGTTCAGTTGGTTTTTCTGAGAAAGTGCAATGCCTACATGCGAACAATGTTTCAAAGGTCAGATGGCTATCTTTATCTGGCATATGTTTTAAAACGTGTATGCATTGGCTATGAAATTTCCTTGTTACTTGAAAAAAAAAAAGTAAGCAGAGCAGAGGGAGATATTATGAATTTCTTACAAATTAAGCGTGCCATAGAACTTGGATGGTGTTCTTCTGTTTTGCATGATGTTAGGTCTTCAGAGTAAAGGAAAAATCTTTAAGTAAAATCATGCAAAACAGAAGATCATCATAATCATCAAAGGAATCCCATTTGGTATAAAAACGTATGGTTATGCAAGCAGGAATGAGTGCAAAATGTCAGGTTTCTAATATTACCATTTCTCCGTCTGCTTTGCAACTTGGAAAAAAAAAAAGAATCCGCCCCCCACTGGCCGAAACAAACAAAAAATAACTTGTAGTTCTCCACTATCCAGCTCTAATCCTACCAAAATAGACATTGTGCGAAAGCAGCTTGTAGGAAACAGGATGGTGTGTTTAATTCCCACAAATACCTTGTGGCCATTGCTTGTCATGAATCCATCCTTATTTATTTACTTATTATTCCTGCATTCCTTGTGGAGATTAGTGGGTTGCATGACTTGCTGTAGCTCTGTGTACAGTCCCAAGAAAAGATTAAATAGGAGCGGTAAGAGGGTTATACATAAAGCATGCCTGACTGAAGGGGATAGAATTAAATCCCTGGTTTTTGTAGGATTGTGGATTGAGGGAGGTGGGGGAAAAAAGGGCTTGTATCTCTTCTACTCCAGCCTAATCTTCAAAAACGAGTGGAAAATACTGTTGCTTTCTGAAGAGAGGCCCTTTTGTTTCTCCTTATTGCAGTTTTGAACCAAAACTTTGTCACGAAAACTTCATCTATGAATTACCACTCTAATAGCAAATTCAGTAAAGGGTACTTGTTTTGACAGTTCCAGCATGTTTTAATGACATCCTGAACATAACTGAGACCACCCACAGCACGTTTCTAAGAGTGATTGCCATGTGATTCAGTATTCAGTCTGCCAGGCATCTGTTACGTACGGGAGAGAGGTAGGCAGGTGGTTGCTTTTCAGTGGATAATACAGTAGTGCACCAGTGCAGCCGTGGGCAGGAGGCACTCAGAAATCATTGGTTCTGGGGACAAACTAGGAATCTGGGAAGCAAAGAGGAAATGTGTTTACCTGGCAGCTCTTGTGTATGTGAGAGCGCAAAGGAGCATGTGCCATTGCGTGGAACGGAGAGGTAGGGTCCTGTTGTGGTTTAACCCTAGCCAGCAACTAAGCACCACTGGACATGACATCGTATGATATGGAATATCCCTTTGGCCAGTTTGGGTCAGCTGTCCTGGCTGTGTCCCCTCCAACTTCTTGTGCCCCTCCAGCCTTCTTGCTGGCTGGGCATGAGAAGGTGAAAAATCCTTGCTTTCATCTAAACACTGCTTAGCAACAACTAAAAACGCCAGTATGTTATCAATGTTACTCTCATACTAGATTCAAAACACAACTCTATAGCAGCTACTAGGAAGAAAATTAACTCTATCCCAGCTGAAACCAGGACAGGTCCCCTCAGCCATGAGGGCTTTCCTTGCTGAGAGCTGGTGTATTGCTAATCTGTCATTTTCTATTGTTGTTACATCTTCTGTTGAACTGAAGATGAAAAGTGCTATGAGTGCGGAGAGAACTAACTATGTCCTCACTGGCTGTTTGGACCAAAACTGGTTTTTGCTTCAGTCAGTTGTATCAGTAACTTATCCCCATTATACCCTCATTGCATGTTTCATCTTCAGCATTTTAGCTTTGTCTGAATTATTCCAACACCTTTACTTTACATAGAAGTTGACAGTACTGTCTCTTTTATGGGTTTAGCAATGTCTTGCAGTGCGTTGTGGAAGAATTAAAAAAGCAAAATGGGAAAATCAGTTGCTGAGTGTTTATTGCCAAGTTCTTATTTTTACAAGATAAATCTTCCTACTGATGGAAGAGCAAGTCATAAACGTACTTTGTAAAATCTGTGTTAACCTACAGTTTATTTTGAGAAGTTAAAGAATAGGTGAAGTTCACTGCAGACAATAAAAACCCACTATTATTTTAGTGTGGAACTAAAGAGAGTGTATGGGGCATAACCAGCCTTCCCTTTAGCCTATGGAAGTGGAAGATAGTTTTCTTTGAAGCTGGACAAAATGCCTCTTGCCAGACTGGGTAAGGGTCTTGTTATGAGAGGGCTGTCGCTGGCATCCTCTGCTCGATCAAGGACTGCGGGCACCACTGGTTTATTGCTCCTGCTGCTGTTTGTTTGGAAGCCCAGTCCAATTGTATCCTTGGATTTATAAAGAAAAAAATTATGAGATGGTGGTGGTTAGTGCTATTAGAAAACAAATATGCGGCTGTTTTGGTGTTGGGAGGAATGAGGGAGAAAAAGTTAATCATAACTGTGGAGAGACCAAAAAAATGAAGATCACTTCAGACTAGCTCTGAGCTGCTCCTTCCATACTTAGTGAAGACTCTGAAATTCCTGTGATGCGAACTTTGTATTTTCTTTCTACTTTTCTTAAAAATGAGTATTCACAGTAATTTCCAACTATCTAATACTTTGTGACTTTCCCGCTAGAAGTTCATTTATGCACAGGAAATCTGTTCATTCTGGAGATCTGCAATGTTACATTTGTACTTGGACTGAGTAGATGAATTTATGTTCTTTAGTCATACGTAGAAGCCATTGAGTCTCCAGCTTTCTGGTTGCATCATAGTATAGTATAATCTGTAATGATTACATTACGATTACATTATATGGCTTTTTATAGGGACTTTCTTTTAAGCAAGGTTTTACAGTGATTTAGGTCTTTTAAACTTACAAGATGGAAATAGGAAGGAAATATTTTATTTTTTTTCAATAAGCTTAATTTTACTTTTGTCAAGAAATTTCTGGGTACTTTTTAAGTTTTCTTCAGCTAATGCCTCTTGTTTTCAAGTAGAAGCTGTAACATGTTTATTTCTGTAGCATCTTTCTTTTTAAGAAAAGCAAAAATGTGTTGCCAGTGTTTTGTGCGCCTTGAACTCTAGTGAGAGATGTTCTGGGATGGAGAGACTAAATGGACATGAGAAATTACTATTCTCCTCTGTCTGCTGCTGTGGAGACCTCAACCGAAATATTGTGGCCTGAGCTTCCAGAAAGATGAGGATAAATGTTTAAAGAATGGTAGAAGTAGAGGAAATGGATTTTTAGAAGTGATCGATAAGGAGAAAAGTTGAAGGATTTGTTTTTCCCAGGAAGAAAACACTGAGGGAAGAGCTGGCTTTCAAAGTATAGAAAGCTGTGATAAGCAGGACATGGATCAGTTGTTATCTGAAGAGAGAAGTAATTTGTTTCTCTTTCAGTGAGTGATGTAACGATAAAGAAAAACCTTCTAAGGATATTTAAGCGCGGGCTGTGAAAGCCCTTCCCTAGAATTCAGTAGACATCTGTGATGAATGTTTTATACGTGCTCCAGCTCCATGTTTCTGTAATTTAGTGAATTGCGTGCTTGGCAGAGCAGGGGAAGGAGGAAATAATCTTACTGTATGCAAACATGTTACTTGCATGTATTCATTTGAATAAAGATAGCAATAACAAAGTAAACCAGAAGAAATAACAAAGTAAGGCAGAAGGAAAAAAGGGAAGAACAAGACGTTGAAATCTACAATTACATTTACACAAATAATTGCATGTGGTAAAGAAGGTTTCTGTCATAAGGACCGTACTTTGAAAGAGCTACAGCTTGCTTCACACACAACACTTTCAAAGCTTGCAGTATTTCTGTTCAGGCAGCTGCTATCTGGTATATGCCTCTCATGCCTTCTGTGTTTTGAACAGTAAAATTATTTTCAGGTAACCAATTCTTTTAATGATGTTCTGATAATACATGCACTGCAGGTTAATCATAGCTTGGGTGCAATATCAGTGACTGGCAGGATGAACACAGCTCCACTTCCGATCCTGACTGCCTGTATTTTCTCTAATGCTGCATGGTCAGGCATCACTGCTACTGTGCTGTGTGGTAGATCTCCGTATCGGATTAGGATACCCCTGTGGTGCCTGTAACACAGTGTGGAACAGAAAACAGGCTCTGCCACTGAGAACTTACTATCTGCAGTTAAGAGACATCAACATAGGAGCAGAGGTATGGGAAGAAGTGAAAGCAAATAAGGTGGTTTTGACCATTGTGACAGATAAGTGGTCTTAGTGCTTCAGCTGTTGGACTGTGGTTGAACTCTGGGATTTTTGGGAAGAAATTTTCAGGGGGTCTTTGATAAATAAATAGCGGACATCAGAGGTGTTTAGGGTTCCCTTCCTCTATGAAGGGTCTGCCTGTAAGAAATAAAAAATGTTCCCCTTTGACAGCTTTAACAAGTGGATGACAGAGGCTGGCACACTTGGCAAATCAAAATCACCATCTCGATAACATACGAATATTGGAGACCTACAAACATGACTTTTTTGAGGGTAGAACTGCTGAGAGGAGGGTGAGGATAGACTGTGAAGGAGGCTGTCAGAGTTGCAAGATTTCATCTGGCAAAATTGCAGAGGAATGATAAAATTAGAAGAAGTGGTACCAGAGAAGGACCTGAGATTTGGCATAGCATGTTTGGTAGGGGTGGTGGCTGAAGAGCTGAGTAAAGGGAGGCAAAGCTGAGATAATCATTGCCTGTTACCCAAAGGAGAAAGAGAAGACAGCAGAGAAGACTAAGATGTCTTTGGCTTCAGATGGTGTGGTTAAAGGATTGGTGGCTAGGTGAGATGATGATGAATAGAGCACAAAATCTGCAACAGTAGGTCTTCCCTTACAAGTATGTGAGGAAAAAATACATATATTAAAAAGATATAATCTATTATTAGGAGTGTGGTCAGAATCTTAATCTTGAGTGTTTGGGGTTGTTATCTTAAGCTGCCATCTGCATGTGACAAAAATTCATATGGAAGGTG